TGATGGTGCCTGACTGAAATATAGGCCCTTATCAACTTAGTGGGCCTGTGATCAGCGCACAGGACCCCCTGGCTGGCATTGAAGTGCCTGGGCCTGTGGGCCGGGCCCCTGAATGGGACATACACCTGGCCTTTTGTGTTCTTCGGGCAGTCAAATCGGGCCTTTAATCAGGTTCCGAGGGGACCGGCCGTTAGCGGCTGTGGGGCTAAGACAGATCCTGGAGCCCCAACCAATGTGAATTGCTGGCTCCGGTTTCATTCCTGCCTGGAAAACGAGCCATAAGGCCCGTGCCATTACGGGAGCGGTTTTGCGTTACTGGTGAAGTCTGGCCGACATATAGCCCCTTATCGACTCACGGGGCCACTGATGAACACACAGTGCCCTCTGGCTAGCGTTGGGTTGCCCGGCCGTGCGGACCGGGGGCCCTGAATGCGACCTCCGGCCGGCCTTTCGGTCCCTTCGAACCCCCAAATTGGGCCCTTAATCGTAGGTTCCGAGGGGTCTAAGGGGACACGTTTAGTTCCTGTGCCCCCGCCTGCGCTGCCACTTGCAGTCGGGGGCCCGCCCTACGGCTGCCGGCCAGCGGTTTCCGTGGCGGTCTTTATCGCGCACATCAACTTACCGCCCTCACTCTTAAAGCCGTACACGTCTGGCAACGCCTGAGCCACATGACATCGACCCTGCGTCGATTACTGGAACATTATTTCGGCGATGGATGCCGAACAAAATGGTGATGAGGCCCCACGGCAACATCCCCCCCGAGGTAGATTGAGGAAACGCATTGAATTAGTGTTGCAGTCTCCTGTTCATTTGAGTGGAAATCCAGCTCCATCCAGTTGAGCGGAAAGAGGTTCAAGTCCGAAGAAACCTTTGTTTAGTGTCTTTAAAACTATGGTTCCCCTGCTACGCCTTACTAGCCTATTTTGGTAAACTACACCCCTGCGGTGAACGCTTAACGACCGTGGCACGTCACGAATTCGCCACCAGATCACTCCAGCACCAGGTCTGAACAGCGCCCACTTCCCAAGCAGGGACGCGCCGGGGCCCGCGATTTGTATCGATCGGGGCCCCTGAAACAATGAATGTCCTCTGTGTCGATCTGGGGACCGGTGCATAACAAGGGTCATGTATGGCAGGAAGCCCAGAATCGGCCCGGGGGCAGTGTTCGAGGAGGCCCGCAGAGGGACCCTCCACGAAGTGCGTGATCGGAAGGTAAGAATGGCTGTGTGTCGGGTGGGTGGCTGGTGTCGTATGTGGTGTAAATGGCTGTGGGTCGTATTTATCGCCAAAAGACGGCATTTGAGGGAGAGTTCCACATTTTGTGGGGTCTTGAACTTAAAGAGCTATCTTGAGTATCATTCTTTGCAGCCAACAGCCATGCATTTCTCAAGACTTGAACCGTTCTAGTTTCTGAACTTTACGCCCGCGACAATTTGTGGACTTTTTCGGAAAAAAACTGTTTCAAGGACAGCCAGGCCTCCACGACGCCATCATAATGTCATTCAAATCCTGCCATTCTGTAGGTCATGCGGCAATCAAGACCAATGAAAGCATAGTTGTCGAGTTTAATCTGGCGTTGTTAGAGACGATGGAAGACCATGTGTCAGTCAAGGGTTCCGTTGCAAAATGGGGAACTCCTCAGCATTTTCCAGCGAGAGGCCTGTTACGCTGAACTTGAGTCTGTGCGCTAATTATTGGACACCCGTGTGGATAAGGGATGTGCTTTGCGTCAATGAGGATCCATACATCGATCTGGCTCCAAAGTTCCGGGTCAAATGGCCCCTTCCGGTGCCAGGCAGGCGACCAATGTACACACAGGCATGACCCGGTATTGCCAGAAAGGCAACCGGTAGGCAGTACGCACCCCGGGCTGGGGCGAAACCACCGTTCAGCTCTTGACCGGGAAGCATGACGTGCCCCTAGTGTTTTACCCACAGGACCTCTTTCCCGGTAAAAGGAGGGGCGTTTCGTAATTATATAAAAAGGCAGATTAAAGTGAGGTCCAAAGGGAGAACAAGGCCTGCACAGGTGAAGCCGTCTATCCAGAGCCTGTCACTTTGTATGCTTTCGGAGTGCCTAAATCCTCCCCCCCCCCCCCCACATACGCAATGCTTACTTGAAGGGAATGTTCCACATTGAATTATATCAAAGTAAACATCATTCGTGATGAAATCCACTCACTTGTAACAATTGGTATGTTTTTACATAAAAGGATTGCTCCAGATGACAAACATTCTCAATTCGGTGAATATGTTTCTCAATACGTCATTGTTTGATTGCGCCATGCAACGTTTCTGTGACGTTGAGGTGCTGTCAAATTCGCCGTGCAAGACAGCCACCCGAGCACTTACATGTAGCACTTGAAATCGCCGAAAGATGGCAGTTCGGTGCTGGACGTGCTTGCTAAGCCAAATATAGTTATGTACTCGTGTTTTGGCCCTTTCTCGTGGTGTTCTTGCACATTTATCCGTGAACTTAAGGAACATACTTGTATTCACATCCCCGGTTATGACGCTGTTCTCAAGCCACTTAACTGCAAGTTTCATCGCCATAATAACCAGCGACTACGTACAACTTCGTGTATCACGTAGCACAAAACGTGTTTCGTGTTGGAAACCTGCGCAGCCTGTTCTGTTTAATTCCCTTCCGCTGAGAGCAGAAACGTTTTCCCTGGCCCTTGTGCGATATTGACGGCCACATTTGCAGCTCTCCTGAGACGCCACGCAACATAGGAGTTATCGGTTAGTCATGGTCGTCGGAACGAAGACCACTTTTTCCGCAAACATGACGTTTTTTTATTGTCCTGAAGTCGTCACGACTACGGTTGCCACGATGTGGGTCGATGGTCTAATTTCCCGTTTCAGCCACCCGGAGTGCGTTCCGGCTGTGCCGCCAACTTTCATCGCCAAGTGATAACTAGGGTCGGTGGACATGTGGTGGTGGTCGGTGGACAAATCGATGGACATCGAGTGGAAGAAGACTTCAAGTGATCACCCTGAGAGGGGAGGGCATTGTGGGCGCATAACTACTACCTTCCACATGCTTCCGAAATACCTTCATGACAGACGTAAAGGATGACAGATGGAATGTGCGCCGGCGTTGTTGCTGGGTTATCGTGCGCAGGTACGCAAAGCGTTGGGCAGCAGTCCCTCCTTCCTTGCGTTTAGCTATGAACCCCGCCTGTCAGTTGAACTCGATGTACCCCGTGTGTTTAAACCTGGCTTTATAGCGGCGTACGTCACCGCCTGTGCGCGGACCTGCGTACAGCGTACCATCGCAATGTCATTATTTGGCGGCAGACGTAAGTGACCCCGGTATGAACACCATGAGCGTAAGCTGAACCAGCCAACCAGTCTGGCGATACAGTGCTCTTGCGCAGATTGCAAAAGGCTGCGGGAAGGAGATATGATGAGCTCATTCGGCCATAGAAGTGTTGGTTATTGTGGTTATATTGTTAATGTGTGTATATTGTTAAAGTTATTGTGGTATCTGCTTGATGCGCCCTAGTTGTATGATCCGGCTGGAGGACAACGGGAACGTGTTCACAGGAATAAAACAAAACACAAAAAAGTTTAACTCCACAGATCTGCCGCGACGCCTGAAATGAATAAGCCTGCAATTAAGGCGACGCACTCATTTGGATCACCAATGTGTCATCTTGCACAACTGGCTTAGAGAAAACAGGGACACTGCACCAAAATAGAGGCCACTACAGTGCCGAGGCCATTGCCGCCGCACATTGTGGGCCTTCTGCAAATATTTCACCGATTGAATCGGGCTGTGGGCATTCCCCATTCAGATCGACTGCCCGACGAGGGTAGGATAACCTTTGGCCCCAGGTTAACATTAACATTGGAGTAGCAGACAAAATTCTAACCACCAAATATGTCTTACGCAGGGTCGCATCAACGTCTAGACATAAAATCTATGGCGTGCACTTTTTCAATGTATTCACTCATTGTGAGAAATCCACTAAACCGCCACTTTTCAGCGCCAATCTGTTTGATGATCTTAGCGGCTTCCACATAACCTTGTAACGCCGTCCCCTGGCGGTACAAAACGGCCATCCGCCGGCGGAGGGCTCTGCTCGACGCGCGCAACTCACCAGTGCCACGCGCCCGCGCGCAACCCAAGCGTGGCCAGTCTCAGCCCACGTCAGATCACAAACAAGGAGTGACAGCTGCTTACGTTGCTCTGGTACACATCCAGCTGCACTGCGCACGGTAAAAGACGGAGAACTCTCGTCCCCTATTTTGTGTTCAACCTACATCCGATCCTGAGTAACGCACATGAACGAGATGGGTGACTCTCTCTCTCTCTCTCTCTCTCTCTCTCTCTCTCTCTCTCTATCTCTCTCTCTCGCTCTCTCTCTCTCTCTCTCCTCTCTCTCTCTCTCCTCTCTCTCTCTCTCTCTCTCTCTATCTCTCTCTCTCTCTCTCTCTCTCTCTCTCTCTCTCTCTCTCTCTCTCTCTCTCTCTCTCTCTCTCTCTCTCTCTCTCTCTCTCTCTCTCTCTCTCTCTCTCTCTCTCTCTCTCTCCTCTCTCTCTCTCTCTCTCCTCTCTCTCTGCTCTCTCTCCTCTTCCCTCTCTCTCTCTCTCTCTCGTCTCTCTCTACTCTCTCTCTATCTCTCTCTCTCTCTCTCTCTCTCTCCTCTCTCTCTCTCTCTCTCTCTCTCTCTCTCTCTCTCTCTCTCTCTCTCTCTCGTCTCTCTCTCTCGTTCATCTCTCTCTCTCTCTCTTCTCTCCTCTCTCTCTTTCTCTCTCTATCTCTTCTCTCTCTCTCTCTATCTCTCTCCTCTCTCTCTCTATCTCTCTCTATTCTTCGCCCCGGAGTTCACTGACCCGAGAGTTGTGCAGTACTGCAGGGACAGAAGAGCTATCGGTACTTCGACGGCCCGTTAGGTGATGCCACTCTGTATCGCAAACATCGCCCGGGTGATCGACTAAGTCTTGTGCTGGTCCAAGCAGCCGGGTCCCAACAAAATCGTCTATGCACGCAGAGAAGTTTATGAATCACTGGGTTATTATAGTAACACTTCTGTCACCTGTTGTCAGAGACAACGCTCTAAACAGCGCGAGTTTTGTATAAAAAACAACAAAAAACAGTACCATATAATTGTTACGCATGCCGCAATAACACAGCGCACCTTAATTGTTGGAAACATTGATACACCAGGGAACAGTATCCAACAAAACAATGCCAGTTTAGCAACCAAATAGCAACCAAAGTGCTAAAACGCACCTCTCAAAGTTGCCAGTTCCCGTCGAGTCACAAGAATAGCTCTGAGAGAAATTCATCGAATTCTTCCTCTCTAGACTTTTCCTCGTCAACCACCGCAGGTTGCTTCCAAATATCGTCCGCACTGACTGCTGCGGACCCCTTGGAAGTTGTATCGCTGGGAACACTGGCCGAAGGTGCGGCCGCGGCTCCATCACCACTCACGGTCTCAACAGCAGCACTATCAGGCACGCTTTTACCCTTCGTGTCGTCCTTTCTAGATTTTTTCGCCCGCTTCTTCGTCTTCGGCGCCTTTGCTTTCCGTTTTTGCTTGTGATAGTTAAGCTTTCGTGAGCAGTCGGGGCACAAACGCAGCTTCACCAAGCAGTTTTTCTGCTCGCCGTGTTCGGCGTACGAGAAATTCACCTCCCATGACTGCAGCGCCTCCCTGGCATCGCAGTGTTTGCTGCCGCACGAAAACTGGCCCTTCCCGGCCACCACCTCCTTCTCGACGCGCCAGCGCATGGCCACCTTGTTCAGCTTGTAGTACGTGAGATCGCAGATGCAGTACTCGCGGAACAGCTTGTCGTGGTAGCGTTTGGCCAGCCTCCTCTCCCAGGAGTCAGTCGGGTCGTCGGGCTCCCACACGAAGCGGTGGTGCTCGCGGATGACGTCGTGGTCGGTGCGGTCTCGGCTGGCGTCGCGCTGCAGCAGCGCTGTGGAGCCCGGGTAGTACAGGTGGTAGTTGTTGATGAGCTCCTTGTGCCGGTCGTAGGCGTTCAGCGCGAGGTAGTGCAGCCGGCGCACGCGGCCCTCATGCCGGGCCCGCTCGGACGAGAAGAACGCCGCGTCAGCCTTGCTTTCAGGAGCCGGCCGCGATTTGTAGCGCAGGTCGTTGCGACGCCGACGCCGCTCCTCCACCTCGCTGTCCCCCTCGAACGCTGACTCATACTCGTTGGACATAATCGTGGTTTGATTGTCAGCTCATGCTCACATCAGCCTGAGAAAATAAAACATCCTGTTTGGATATCATCATATCAAATAATGTAAAAATAAGTTATCAGCCTAGAGTATATTGCAAAGGTATTCATGATGGCTAAATAGGATATTCTATGAAGGACAGGATGCCAGAAATTGTATGCAACAAACATGACAAAAATATTGGGAGTGACGCACATTGACTCGCTTTTACAACACATCTTGGAGAACTACAGCTTCTAACCTGGCACCATGCACCAAGCCATGGAAACATTGTCATGAGTTGAACAAAATCATGAGAGTTACAAGTACCAAATGTCCAGGAAACACAAAAGGCATGAGGACTGAGAGAAGGGATGTTTGATCCAGCTTCGAAGAAGCCTTGAATCAGTTATCCAGTTCCTGTTTCTGGTTTCTGCTCAGGGACACATGCACCATACCAGAAACAGAACATTTTTCAAAATTTGTCAACATTTAGCTTTGCATCCAGTCATTTCCCACAGACATGCCAAATCTACATGACTTATTTGTCAGTAAAACAAACACAGTAATAAACAGCATATGACAAGGTCATATGGCAGTATAAGTTTCAGAATCAGAAGGCCAGGCTTTAGACAACTTCTGTGTCTGTGTCTGTGACTGCAAAAACTTGGTACTGGGAAAGCAGTGATATGAAAAACATGAGATAGTCCTACACCACTGACAGGAGAGCATTCATAATGTTGATGCCATGTTCGGGACACATCCACAACACATCAGGGATACATTCAGGTAGGTCTACAGATCATGGATACATATGCACAGAAGGATCACAGGTATATATCATTAAATGCACAAAATTATCCAGACAAATTTGTTTTAACTCAAGTGTCATGTTGCTGCAACATCTGTGCCACAGAGACGTGAGTAAGTGAAGCATGTTACGGACAGGCTACAATTTTGACGGTAATTTTTTACTTGGGTACCTGTATGGCCGGCGGAGGGAAGAGCTACGCTAGCTGCAGGGTTTCGAGTATTGTCGTGCGGGGCAAAAGCTGTGAGGCATCAGCTAACATTGTGACGTCACTGAAAATGATTTTGCATCGATCGGGATCGGGGTTCTCTCGGGCCGACTGAAGGCCATAAGGCTTTTGCTTGTGATATGATGTCACTGGTATTCGGCTGGGTATGTGACGTCACTGGTCGTGAGTGTGTAAGGCTCTTTTGGGTCCCGTAATGCATCAGCTGGCCATGTGTCGTCACTGGTATTCGATTGAACATCAGGCGCGGCCGGCCTCGTTCCATCTTTACTTTTCGTACCTGTCTGCTGCAAGCATTTGCGTGCCGCATAAAGGTTTGACCCGAATTACCCCCAATGTGTGACGTCCCTAATCATCACTTCATACGAGTGCACTTAGGCCCCACGACCACGGTGTGTCGTGGTCCGCGAAGTATCACCGGATAGCGTGACGTCACTGGTATTCGAATAAATACTGGGCGCAACAGGCCGTGCTTCATTTTTACCTTTGTACTTGTCTACTGCAAGCATTGGCGTGCTGGATGAAAGCTGCCGAACCACCTGAGTGTGTGACATCACTGGCCATGAGTTCCAACGGTGCTTTTCGGCCAACTGGAGACCACAAGGTGTCAGCTAGCGACGTCACTGCTATACGACTGTAAGACGTCAATGGCCGTGGGTTTCCACGGGCCCTATAGGACCGACGAAATGCCGTTAGGCATCAGCTGGCGATATGACGTCACTGGTATTTGGCTGAACATCAGGCAACAGGTCATGCTCCATTTATACCTTTCGTACATGTCTGCTGCAAGTATTGGCGGATTTTTTGTGCGGCCAACTAAAGACCATAAAGCATCAGCTAACGATGTGACGTCGCTGGCACTCGACTGCGCGTGATGTCACTGGTCATGAGGTTTTACGGCCTCTTTTGGGCCGACGAAAGGTCATACGGCAATGACCGAAGATGTGACGTCACTGGTATTCGAATGAACTTCGGGCGCGACAGACCATGTTCCACCTTTACCTTTGGTACCTGTCCATTGCAAGCATTGCCGTGGAAGGCTCTGCCAAATTACCTGAGTGTGTACGTCACTGACCATTAATTTGCACACTCTTTTGAGCCTACTATAGGCCACAAGGCATCAGCTGACGATATGATGTCACTGGGTTTCGACTAGACATCATGCACAACAGGCCATGCTCCATCTAAGCCATGTTTCGTCTGTACCTTTCGCACCTATCTACTGCAAGTATTCGCGCGACACAGGGGCTCTGCCGAATTACCTGAGCGTGTGGTGTAACTAGTTATGAGTTAACGCGGGTTTGCTCTGGCTGAATGAAGGACATCAAGCATCAGCTGACGATATGACGTCACTGGTATTCGACTAAACTCCAGGCGCGACAGGCCATGTTCCATCTTTACCTTTCGTACCTGTCTCTTGGAAGTATGGGCGTGCTGAATGAAGGCTCTGTCGAGTCTCCTGAGTAAGTAACGTCACTGGTCAAGAGCTTTTTACGGGACCTTTTGTACCCCCAAACGGTATAATGCATCAGCTGATGATATGACGTCACTGGTGTCCGACTTAACATCAGGCGCGACAGGCCATGTTCTATCTTTACCTTTCGTACCCGTCTATTACAAGTATTGACGTGCTGAATGAAGGCTCTGTCGAGTCTCCTGGGTGTGTAACGTTACTGGTCATGAGTTTTTTCTGGCTCCTTGGAACCCTCTATAGGGAAAAATGCATCAGTTGACGACATGATGTCAATGGTGTTCGACTTAACATGAGGCGTAACAGGTCATGTTCCATCTTTGCCTTTCGTACCTGTAAAGTATTGGTGCGTTAAATGATGGCTCTGCCGAGTCACCTGAGTGTGCGACGTCACTGGTCATGAATTTTTACCAACTATTTTTGGCTGAGCGAAAGCCATAAGGCATCAGCTAACGAAATGACGTCACTGGTAATCCACTGAGTGTGTGACGTCACTGGTCATGAGCTTTTACGGGCCTTTTTTGGCCGAGTTCAGGTCATTAGGCATCAGATAACGTTATGGCGTCACTTGTATTCGAATTAACATCAGTTGCAATAAGCCATGTTTCATCTTTACCTTTCGCACCTGCCTACTGCAAGTATTCGTGCGCTACAAAAAGGCTCTGTCGATTCGCCTGAGCGTGTGGTGTAACTGGCCATGAGTTTGTGCAGGTTTACTCGGGCTGACTGACGGACATCAAGCATCAGCTGACGATATGACGTCACTGGTAATCGACTAAACTCCAGACGAATCATCTGAGTGGGTGACGTCGCTGGTCATGAGTTCATACGGATTCACTTGGGCCGCCCAAGGCCACAAAGCAACACCTCCCGTGAAGCATCACAGGATGATATGTCGTCACTGTTATTCGACTTAACATCAGGTCCAACATGCCACGTACTTTCTTTACCTTTTGTACTTGTTTATTAAAGGTATTGACGTGCTGAATGAAGGCTCCGTCGAATCTCCTGAGTGTGTGACGTCACTGGTCACGAGTTTTTTACGGGCTCCTTTGAACCCATTTTAGGTTATAATGCATCAGCTGACGACATGACGTTACTGGTGCTCGACTAAACATCAGGCGCAGCAGGTCATGCTCCATATTTGCCTTTCGTACCTGGCTGCTGCAAATATTCGCGTGCTATATGAAGGCTCCGCCGAATCACCTGAGTATGTGACGTCACTGATCATCAGTTCGTAGGAGGTCACTTAGCCACCTACGGCTACGGAGTTCCGCAGCAGAGGTGGGAGATGCACCATAGTTAAGCACACTAATTTCATTGTGCGCACCATTAAGTAACAACTTCAAACGCAACGGGCTGTTTCAGCGACTAAAATTTTGAACAAACGTTAACACAAACAAAGGTGATCCCAGCCCACAAACCGACGTATATGCAAAGCTATTCCGCCCGACACCACAGGACGCGCCCCTGAGCAGCTACGGTCCAGAATGCCCTGATAGCTAAATAATAATCAAGGGCGCCGCCTAGCGGCCATAAGTCTGGGCCACAGCCCGAATATCAGTGACGTCATATGGTCAGGTGATGCTTGATGTCCTTCAGTCAGCCCGAGTAAGCCCGCGTAAACTCATGACCAGTTACACCACATGCTCAGGTGATTCGGCAGAGCCTTTATGTAGCGCGCGAATACTTGCAGTATAGAGGTGCGAAAGGCAAAGATGGAACATGGCCTGTTGCGCCTGAGATTAAGTCAAATACCAGTGATGTCATATCGTCAACTGATGTCTTGTACCCTATAGGTACAAAAAAGCGGCCCGTAAAGAACTCATGACCAGTGACATTACACACTCAGGAGATTTCACAGAGCTTTCCTTAAGCATGTCAATGCTTACAATAGACAGGTACGAAAGGTAAAGACGAACATGGCCTGTCGCGCCTGGTGTTAAGTTGAATACCAGTGACGCCACATCGCCAGATGATGCTTGATGTCCTTCAGTCAGCCCGAGTAAACCCGCGTAAACTCATAACCAGTCACACCACACGCTCAGGTGATTGGGCAGAGCCTTTATGTGGCGCGCGAATACTTGCAGTAGATAGGTGCGGAAGGTAAAGATGAAACATGACATATTGTATCTGATGCTTAATTGAATACCAGTGACCTCATATCGTTACCTGATGCCTAATGGCCTCAAGTCGGCCCAAAAAGGCGCGGGAAAACTCATGACCAATGGCGTCACACACTTAGCGGATTACCAGTGACGACATATCGTTAGGTGATGCCTAATGGCTTTCACTCGGCCAACAATAGCCTGTAAAAACTCATGATGACGCACTCAGGTGATTCGGCAGAGCCATCATTAGGCTCGCCAATACTTTAACAGGTGCGAAAGGCAAAGATGGAACATGACATGTTGTGCCTGATGTGAAGTCGAACACCAGTGACATCATATCGTCAACTGAAGCATTATACCATATAGGGGGTTGAAAAGAGCCCGTAAGAACTCTTAACCAATGACGTGATATAACACGCGAATGCTTGCAGTAGACAGGTACAAAAGGTAAAGATGGAACATGGCCTGTTGCGCCTGATGTTGAGTCGAATACCAGTGACGTCATATCATCCCGCGATGCTTTACAGGATATGATGCTTTGTTGCATTGGGCTGCCCAAGTGAACCTGTATAAACTCATGACCAGTGACGTCACGCACTCAGATGGTTCAGCATCACCTTGATATAGCACGCGAATGCTTGCAGTAAACAGGTACGAAAGGCAAAGATAGAGCATGGCCTGTTGCGCATGACACCTAGACGAAAACCGGTGACGTCATATGGTCAGCTGATGTGGTTTGGCTTACAGTGGGTTCAAAACAGTCTATACAAATTAATGGTTAGTGACGTTACACACTCAGGTCATTCGGCAGACCCTTCCTTCAGCATTCAAATACTTGCAATGGACAGGTACCAAAGGTAAAGATGGAGCATGGCCATGGCCGCCTGAATCGTATTCGCATACCAGTGACGGCACATCTTCAGTTAATGTCGTATGACCTTTCGTCGGCCCAAAAGAGGCCGTAAAATCTGATCACAAGTGACATCACACACAGCCGAATGCCAGTGACATCACATCATTAGGTTATGCTTTACGGCCCTCAGTTGGCCCCCAAAGATCCATAAAAATGCATGACCAGTGAAGTCACACACTCACGTGATTTGGTAGCTTTTATTCATCACGCCAGTGCTTGCAGTAGACAGGTACGAAGCTAAAAATGAACCTTGACCTGTTGCGGCCAATATTTAGTCGAATATCACTGACGTCACGATACCCAGTGATATTTCACGGAACATGATACACCGCGGCCGTGGGGCCTAAGTGCACTCGTATCAAGTGATGCTTGGTGACGTCACACATTCAGGTGATTCGGTCAAGCTTTTATTCGGCACGCAAATGCTTGCAGCAGACAGGTACGAAAGGTAAAGATGGAATAAGGCCCGTTGCGCCTGATGTTTCATTGAATACCAGCGACGACATATCGTCAGGTGATGCTTTACGGCATTCATTGCACCCAAAAGAGCCCTAAAGCCTCACAACCAGTGACGAACATATCCAGTCGAATACCAGTGACATCATATCGCTAGCAAATGCCTTGTAGCCTTCAGTCGGCCCAAAAGAACCCCGATCGACGCAAACCCATTTTCAGTGACGTCACTACGTCGGTTGATACCTAACAGCATTTCTCCATCATGGCAGTACAGGAACCCTGCAGCCAGCGTAGCTCTCTCCCCACCGTCGGCAATACAGGTACTCAAGTAAAAAAAGCCATTTTGACATACATTGAGTGTTTTTATTTGAGGGTGTAGGCACTAGGAAATGCAGTTCATGGTTCATGTAAGGCCTCAATAGCCCATTTAACACTACAAGCAAGGCTGCTTTCCTTGCCAGCGTAGTTTTAGTCAATCTGACTTTATCTTAATCTTGGTAAAAATAGTAAACACGGTGTATCTTGGGGGTTGGGCCCCACTGCTGGTCAGGGGTCTCGCCTAGGGATTGTTGGTCACGGCTTTGGACATGATTGTGATGGCATTTACGGGAATAACCAGACGCAGTGCATTGTTCTCAGCCACTGACCTACCGCCACACGAAAACAAAGTCGTGAAGAAGCTGCCACAGGATCGCGCTCCTCGACATTGCCCCTCATATCGCCCTGCGCCAGTAGTTACTGCGCAGCCTTTGCGTAATATGGTAGCTGGTAGGGAACAAACTTATGAAGGAAAATGTGGTACGTTAGTGCAGAATCGGGATACGTGATAGTGATAGGCTTCGTATGACAAAGTTTTTGATCTATGGGTAGATTTGGAATTTTTAATTTCACATTAAATGGTGTTATCGTATTTCTGTTGCATACTCAGCACTTCTGCTTTGGTCAGCAATGCATATAATGCGCCAAGACTTTACTCTACGCAATTATGTTTTACCAGCTGCTAATATATTGCAGCACTTGCGGATTTCTGGATTTGTAAACAATCGCCAAGTGGCGGGCGGTCTTGTGGGAGGTAGGAGCCTGTTCACGAGGTTTTCAGGTTTTCCAACAATGAGCATGCCATTTCCTTCTGTATCATACCCTGAAATGTTTAACTGAATATCAAAGTTGCATGCTAATGTGTTGAATTCAGGGCGTCGGTGGCCCATTGTGCTGTGGGCCGCCTGACTTTGTCATGGAACATTGGTGCCGTGGTGATGCACAAAAAAGAATAAACGGAGGCTCTCCCCTGCTGCCACTTTTGGGGTGGTCCTGTGTCCCTGATTTGGCATCCAACACAATTGAGGGTCCATGCAGGTGCATGATGGGTGGAGCATATGACGTAAAGATCATTTCTATTTCTTTGGCAGTTTTGTGGTCATACTGTGTTACTTTTGCCATGTACAGCAGCAAATGATTGACATAGGATGGGATGAAATGAAAAGAATGCTGATATTTGTGCTTTTTTATTTTACTAACTTAATTTGACTACATCTTTCTCCATGAGCCAGACCACAAAAATATGTGTTATAATGAACATGTTGGCATAAGCCTGGCAGGACATGTCTGATGTATCAGCTACAGTATCAGAGTATATATGATTTGTGCTGTAAATCCTAAAGATTAGCACTCAAAACTCAGTGTGCACTACATGTTCACCATTAATTTCCAGTCATAGATTTCAGTCTAATATACTGTGGCAACATGTTTCATGGAAAAAGTTGAGAATTCAGTGCAATTTTGATGGCTTGAGTTAACATTATGGGGCTTGATCCTACACACAAGTAGTGTGAGGTATGTGTCCAGTGCTGTGGGAATAGTTTTTTAGCATATTTAGTTTTTCAAATGTACATCCAGTTCTGAAATAGAGGTCCATCTTCCATGCCATATCTACATTTTTATTAATATGCAGTTTTATATGTTTTTTGGTTTTATTGACTTTGACCAGCATGTAAAATATTTCAGAAGTGAGCTCTAACAATTTGATGTATCATTGATACATAACTAGATCACAGAACATTGGCATCAACACAGTTTCATACAGGCAATTTCCTAAAGAGGAGGATTTGGTTCCAAGTTCTTGCTTGATATATTGTGAGTTTTTTTTGTCACATTCTTATCATGCTGCCTTTCCTCCCACCATTTGGCTAGTGGCAGAGTGCCTCTACAGACTTTATCTCTCATATTACATTTGGTTTGTTCTCTGTCTTAAGTAACTGACAGAACACAATTTTTGTTACTGTTAGGCTGTTTTATACATATTTATGCTGCTGTTTATTGCATTTTCTCACCCTGTTTGCTGTGAAGTTAAAGGGTGTCTGACAGATATACAAAAACAAACCAGGATTTAAGGTTGAGTTCCTGGATATATTATCATCTTATTAGTATGCTTGGCAATGCATCCATTGCTTTTTGATTTCCGAGCCCCACTCATCTCAATGCTCCATATGTGGCTCAGCTGTCCATGTCCATTCTCCAAGCTCTTCTGTTGGGAGAGCAGCCAATGCTGAGCCTTTGCTCTGTGTCCCCGTGCTGTAGTCCGGTCACCGGCTATGGAGGAGTATGAGGAGCTGCGCGAGATCGGCCGCGGCGCGTTCGGCGTGGTCCATCTGGTGCGCCGGCGGGCCGACCGACGGCTCGTCATACTCAAGAAGATCCCTATGCCAGAGGAGGACACCAAGCAGGCGATGAATGAGGTCCAGGTGCTGCGCCTGCTCAGCCACCCCAACATCATCGAGTACATGGCCAACCATCCACAGGAGAAGTCGCTGGTAATCGTCATGGAATACGCGCCTGGCGGCACGCTCCGCGACTACCTGCTCAGCCGGCAGGACCAGCTGATGGAGGAGGAGCAGGTGCTGCACTTCTTCAGTCAGATGCTGATGGCCGTGCAGCACATCCACAGCCTCAGCATCCTGCACCGCGACCTCAAGTCGGAGAACATGCTGCTCGACCGCGAGCGTCAGGTAGTCAAGGTCGGCGACTTCGGCATCTCCAAGATTCTCATGACGAAGACGCTGGCCACGACGGTGGTCGGCACGCCGTGCTACCTATCGCCGGAGCTGTGCGAGGGCAAGCCGTACAACCGCAAGTCGGACGTGTGGGCGCTGGGCTGCCTGCTACACGAGATGGCCGGCCTGCGGCGCACTTTCGAGGCGGCCACGCTGGCCGCGCTGGTGCTCAAAATCCTGCGCGGCGGCTACCAGCCGCTGCCGGCGCAGGTGTCGGACGGTCTGCGGCGGCTGGTCACGTCCATCCTCAGCCTTGACCAGGCCCGGCGGACCCACTGTCACGCAGGTCATCGCGCACGCCGCCGTGGCGCCGCACTTCTGCCGGCTCTACACTGACCTGGGCATGATCCCCTGGCACGCCAGCACGCGACCGCTCTCCATGTGCGCCTCGCAGACGCTGGGCGCACGCGGCGGCCCGCTGGGCGCCGTGTGGGCGGCGCGCAGGCCCACCTCGCCGCCGCCGCCGCCCGAGGACACTCTCTGGGCGCTGACACCGGAGCTGGCGCTGCGCCACCTGGAGCCGCCAGCCGGCGCCGGCCGCCGGCTGCTGGCCGCCGCGCGCGCCGGCCAGACGGTGGTCTTGGTCACCGGTGCCGGTCACGCGGCCGTGTGGCGCCCGGCCGGCGGCGCGCCGCAGCCGGTCGAGCGGCCCGCCGGCGGCAAGTTCACGGAGGTGGCGTGCGGCGGCGCCACTGTCGCCTTGTTGACGCAGCGTGGCATCGTGTTGACGGCAGAAGTTGGCGACGGCGTCCTCCGGGGCCCTCCGCGCATCGTGCAGTCGCTGCTGGGCCACGAGGTGGCGCAGCTGAGCTGCGGCGCGGACCACGTGCTGGCGCGCACCGCCGCCGGCGCCGTGTTCGCCTGGGGCGCCAACGCGGACGGGCAGCTGGGCAGCGGCGGCCGACGGCCGGCGGGTCAACCGCAGACGCTGCCGCTGCCGGCCGGCGTGACGGCGGCGCGCGTCTCGGCCGGCGCCGGCTGCTCGCTGGTGGTGGCCGCCGACGGGCGGCTCTTCAGCTGTGGCCTGAACGCGGCCGGCCGACTGGGTGCGGCTGAGGGCGCGGCCGAAACGGCCGGCCGGCCCGGCGAGCGCCGCCTCCGGCTGGCGGCCGTCGCGCTGCCGCAGTCGGTGACGGATGCCGTGGCGTGCGGCGCGCGCACCGCCCTGCTCGCGACCGGCGGTGGCCTGCTCTGGCTGGGCGGCCAGGCGGGCGGCATCACGCGCACGCCGCTGCCGGCCGCCGCCATCGCCATCAGCGGCGGCGAGGGCGCCGTGCTGGCGCTGTGCGCCGACGGCTCGCTGCACGCCGTCGCTGAGGGGGCCGCGAAGCAGCCGGTGCGGCTGGAGCCGCCCGCCGCCGGCCGGCCGCGGCTCGGCGCCGGCGGCCTCCTCATGCTCTGCCAGTGACCGGCCGCCGCCGAGCGCCTCCGGGCTGGGGTGGTTTGGTTTGTGTGCCCTTTAGACGTCCCGTAAATATCAATGAGTCAGTATCGGTCTCTCGCAGTGGTTTGGCTAGTATGCTGTGCCATCATGCCAGCTGGCGGGTAAGCAACCAGGTTTGTCACCAAAACATTCGGTTCGTTTGCTTTTGCAAGTGGGTTGTTGGACCATGGAGTGCCTTACCTTACTCATAGCTTTAAGCCGTTTGCACGCATATTTCCCCCAAGCTCGTGGGACGTGGTTGCAGCGTTTAGATACCAGTTGGAGTTGCATAAGGACTCCGAGAAGTTACAAACTTAAACCATGCGCTGCGTCTCGTATTTCGTGAATGGGGTTTTGTTTCTTTGTTTTTTTTTGTTTGTGGTGTGTTGCAACACTGAAAGCGCTTAACACTTGGTTGGAACATTGGCGGCGGGAATTGTTTATGATCATGGAGTGAGGTGAAGACCATTTGGTCTGGTGCATTGAGCCTCGATTATTTTTATTCTGTCCCGACCGTGCGTCCCATGATACGTGATAAACGCTACCTTGATCTCAAATGAACTCTGTGATATGTGCGCTTGCCTAATATCATCGGCGATGCAGTGTAATCGATATATCTCGCGCGCTAGGGAGTTGACGTGCAGTGATACTCAAAGTACTCATTCCTGAGGTTCATATTCCTTATGTCCTTTGGATGTTATGATCTCATATTTGCAATGCAATCTGTAGACCATTTAGGTGGTTGTGTGGGTTGAATGTTTACGAGAAGGTTTTTATGAATTGCATTCGATGGAGTGTCAATAAACATTTATTTTCTGAATTGGTTCAAGAATCCTGTCGAAGTTCTGCATTCTATGAAGGTTGAAACTCAGATGAAGAGTAAAACAGTGAATAGCTGGCGTCACGTGCATATTAAGACATCGGGCACATGCAATATTCATTTCTTTTCACACTGCATAGACGTGGGCCAGCCACAGAACGGAGGGGCACCTCAGCTCAACTCTTGCGAACTATTTCATTGTGCCGTTGTTTGCCAACGTTGGAGGCAAAAAGAGCATAAAAACACGATATCCTCGGAACCCTTGTCTCCTGGCATGCTCGAGCGGCGGGAGGGCAACGAGATCATGTACCCCCCCCCCCCCCCCAATCAATTTGGTACTCGCAGTATTATGCCTTTTAATAAATTTAGACAATAAATACAATATGCACACGTCAATGCGATGGGACCCAAAACGTGCTACGTTATCGTACTCCATTGGAGAAAGTTATTGCGGTTGTGGTTTCAACAAATTTATTCTTTGTCATTTTTTGGTTTTGTATCCCCGTTGCGAAATCTTGCATGCGATTCTGACGGGACTCGTAACGCCGCTATCATGAGGAACACATTCATAGGGAAGACATAAATCTCGTGGCGACCTTGTCCTCGGCAAGTTCGGTTGCCCTCCGGACATTTCTAAGCCGTCTAAGCTCAACAATTTCGCTGCATGGCTGTTCTGCATCCAGATTCTGCTCTCGTCCCTGTGACTGGTAGGAGGCCGCAAATTGCAGGAGGTCCACCATATTCTTAGGAATGATATAGGGATAAACATGCACCTTCATGGTTTGATGTTGTTGTCAGAATGCTCAGATGAAGGTCGTTTTATGAATGGCACATTTCTGCAAAAGCTTCAGGCAATGCAATGCCACGATACCATCAACAGTGGTCAAGGTGTTTGCCTTACTACTGATGTGTCACACTCATTAACTTTTCCAGGTCGGGAAGCCCAGTCTTAAGTGGGTTCCAGTATTTCAAGAGAAGTGTGATATCGTTAAATCACACGAGCTCAAAAGACCACAATCGACCAGAGAGCCCGGGTCCACAAGATCACAAGAGCTCGGGAGTCTCCATGTTTGTACTTTCAAGAAGGCATGCACTAAAAGAATTGAGGAGAAGAGCTGGGTTCCCTCAATTTTCTAAGGCCTCTAAGATTATGGCCACGCCCTCAAAGCCACCAAACGTCTTGGTCCACCACGGCGACAAGGCCTCGCAAGACCAGCTCCGGCAGCTAGTGTCATCTCTCGTCGGTACCACGCACTACACCGTGTACGATCTACCACTGGCGGCGCCACCGGTCTGGATCGACAACGCTTCCCTGGTCGTCGTCTCCGGCGAGCTGAGTGCCAAGGTGGTGGACGAAGTGGAACGTTTCACGAGAGGTGGCGGTCTGGTGCTTTCTCTGGCCTCCAGCCTGACGCTAGGGCTCCTGACCCCGGAGCCTGAGCCGGGCCCTCGTACTCCGGTAACGGTCTCGTACCAGGACCAGGCGTGCGTGCAGTGTGAGTTCAGCGCCACTGTGCGCCGCCTGAGCGCCGCGGCCGAGACCTGCGCTGCTCTCCGCTCGCCGGCGGTGGTGCGGACGGCAGCCGGCGCAGCCGAGTCACCGCCGGCGCTGCTACGCTGGGCCGGCGCCGCTGGCGGCGGTACCGTGCTCCTCTCGCAGCTGCGCTGGCGCCCGGCTTCACCGCCGCAGATGGCGCTGCTGCGAACGCTGCTGCGGACCGAGCTGGGCGTGCGGTGCGACACGGTGCCGGAGCCGGAGGTCCGGTACTGCGCCGGCCACGTGGTGGCGGATGCGGCGACGGTGGCGCTCCTGGCGGAGGGAACCAGCGGCTCGGAGCGGCCTGCGCTCCGGCTGGTGTCCTCGCCGGCGGAGGCGGTGGCCGCAGCCGATCTGCTGCCACTGCTGGCCGCGCCACCGCCGCCGGCGCAGTTCGACGTGGAGGCGTACCTGCGCGAGCTGAAGACTCGCGAGCTGGGCCGCTGCCTGCTGTACGCGCCGGCCGTCACCTCGCTGCTGGATGTGCTACGTGACGGCCGGCTGGTGCACGGCGCCGCTGCCGTCTGTGACCGGCAGACCCGCGGCCGCGGCCGCGCCGGTAACGCCTGGCTCAGCCCGGCCGGCTGCTGCATGCTGGCCGTGCGGCTGCTGGTGGAGCTGGGTGCGCCGCTGGGCGGCCGGCTCAGCTGGCTGCAGCACGTCGTCGCGCTGGCCGTGACGCTGGCTGTCGACGACCGACGTCTGCGGCTCAAGTGGCCTAACGACCTCTACTGGGACGGCCAGCATAAGGTGGGCGGCGTGCTGGCCGAGGTGGGCGTGCAGGGCACACGCGCCACCTGCCGGCTCGGTGTCGGCGTCAACCTGGACAACGCCGCGCCCACCGTCTGCCTCAACGGCCGCCTGGCGGCGCCACTGGCGCGCGAGCTCCTGGTAGCGCGCACGCTGAGCCAGATGGAGCGGCTGCTGGAGCTGGAGACGGCCGAGCTGAGCCGACTCTACCGCTGCCACTGGCTGCACGACGACCAGCCGGTGACGGTGTGGACGGCCGGGGAGCCGCGAGCCGCGCGCGTCTGCGGCCTCGACCTGTACGGCTTCCTGCTGGTGCGGACCGACGCCGACGGCGCCGAGCTGGCCGTCTCGCCCGACGGAAACAGCTTCGATATGATGCGGGGTCTCATTGTGCCCAAGGAGCGCAGGGGCGACTGAAGTGATGGGCGGGGACGACGGATGGGGCTGCTAGCGGAACTCAGGGAGATGCAAGCAGGGGCTGCGATGTGCTGTTTTCCCGCGTGCTTTCGGCTGATGCTAGTGTACGTGTTGCGTGCCGGGAGAGCAGACGTGGTTAGGAAAATGGGATCGCCAAGTGACGGTGGTATCCTTACCATCGCCTACGGCTCTACGGTCGGCGTAGTTGTGACTGACGTAGTCGTGTTGCTATGCATTTCTGGTTTGGCACCGTGACAAGTCATTCCTGTGGGTTTACCGATGATGATAAGTAATTAAGCTTTTAACAACGCTCATGCGATTGGTGACATCATTTTTCAGCCATCAGCAGATGCCTCATGCTGGTGGTTTTAGCCGCGTACTGCGAGAACCGGGCCAGCTTTTTTAAAAGCCAGCGTTGTGAGGCATAGCAAGAGCTGTTGCAGGGTGTTGAAGTAAGTAATAAATCATTCAGTGGTGTGGCTATGAAACACATTTACGCGGTATGAAAATAATGATGCATTTAATGAAAATCTGTAAGTCTTCATCCCCTACAGGCATTTGCGCACGGGTTACTTGCTTGGATAGCCGATGACGAGATTGATTTCACGAATGCACCCATCTACAGAATTAATATGTTCATTGTATTCACGAATCACAAATCAAAACAAAATCGTCAACAAATGTTGCACAATGCCCAGCAAGCGATGATTAAACAACGGACCGTCTAAATTCTCTAGCCTGGCGCGAAACTCTGTGCGGGTGGAAAAGGCAGCAATCGTCGGCGGCGGCATGAGACAATTACAGTACCCTTATCAACGTCCACCTTGATCGTTCCCACCAAAAGCGGGCAGCTGCGAATGGTTAAAGTCCGTCACCTGGGGCGCGATGATTTGGGTACCAGTGAAGTGCATGCCGTATATCAATACATGAAATGGTTGCAAGTTACGAGTCGGCATAGAATTGCATATCAATGCAGGAAATGACAGCCAAGTTATGACACTCGCAGTGTGGAAACTTGAGATCTTTACGTTGTCGGGTCTGGTTGCCCTAATCATCCTGTTGAAGATTAATTTCAAGTCTCGTCTCAGCCCTGGAGGGGGAATGATAAAGGAAAGACTAAGGTAATATGGAAGCAAATGTTAGCCGATTCTGGCTGTGTAGCCACGAAAATGATGCAGTGCAACATTGGGTCGCGTGTTTGCCTGCGTGTGCAGATAGTTGCATCGTTCGGTCGCAAGTTACTTCGATACAAAAATACAACTCTTTTCAGCTTAAGGTAAACCTCTGTCTCGTACTGAGTCGCACGAGCTATTTCGATCGCCAGTGGCTGCTCCGTTCCCATGCGCTACATTATCCGGGCGCCTAGACACAGGCACACGGCCCTGTAGGCAGTACCTGCCTCCCTGCTAAGCGGAGCAACTTTCCTCCACCCATTTGTTGTGATATGAGGCCAGTGGTCTGGTTATTGAATGAAAGTGCATCCGCTGTCAACAGCAGCGTTGCAATAGGCGCCCTGGTGAATGACTGTAAGGCACATTCATTCTGCTATCCAATGCCATGCATTTGTGTTTGTGTTTTGTGTGTTCTGTGTTTTGACGTGTGTTTCTGCCTGTCAGATCAGCATGGGTGACGAATCTGGACCAGTGGAGCGATTCCAAACCTACCTGAGGATCAAGACTGTCCATCCAGAGCCTGACTATGGTGTGTTCCAATGTGTTGCTTGGGGGTTTTGCCAGGCCTTCATTTTCTTGGGGGTGGAACTAATGGGAATCAAGACTGCTTTAGTGTACCCACCAAGCATTTGGGATTCTACCTATGATACAGTTAAGATTGCCTCTTTTGGTAATGGAACCAAACAAAGCTGCTTGTGGTATGTATGAGCTATGGCCCATGCACCCCACAGGTAATGTTTCTCCCTGTACTCCTTAAAATTTTGATATTTCCTAATCCCAAGATGGTTATAATGCTGCTGATCTGTCTTTGATCTTTTGTTTTGTTTCATAATGCAGCTATGGGCATTTCTTACTTATCTCTTTGATGGGCATGCAGCTATGGTGGTACAAAACAATCATGTCCCAGGTTGTACCTTTCATGGCTGCTGGGCCCATATGATTGGGCTGTATGGCCACATGTTTTGGTAGGGGGTGCCGTCAGATTTGAGCCACATGGCCATGTGTTTGGCAGAGGGTGCCATCATATTTGAGCTGTACAGCCATGTGCTGGCAGAGGGTGCAGTCAGGCTTGAGCCGCATGGCTGTGTGTTGGCAGAGGGTGCCGTCAGATTTGAGCCACATGGTCGTGTGTTTGGCAGAGGGTGCCGTCAAGTTTTTGCGTGCCCAAGCGGAAGAGATTGGCCTGCCCTGCCGCGTGCTGGAGCCAGTCAAGGGCAAGCCGGTGGTGATCATGACCTGGGCGGGCACTGAGCCGTCCTTGCCCACCGTGCTGCTCAACTCGCACACGGACGTTGTGCCTGTGTTCCCGGTACGGGGCTGACGCAGCCAGCGGTCGCCGCCCTCGGCTCGGGCGAGGTATAGTACGGCTCTGCTTTGTTCTGTGATAAATATCAGTGACGCTTTCCTGAACGCCCTAAAGGTAGTTTCATTGGGTGAGTATTAGTGAAGTGTCGATCTTGTTGGCGACATACCGGGACAGACCGAGACAAGTCAAAATAGTTCAATGCCGTATCCACCACCTGATTACAGCTGGTTTGCTGATTCTGCGTGCATCAGTCCTGTTTTTGTTCGTTAGATCTGCCTGAAAAACCAACACTGCACGCACTTTTGCCACCTTTTTCGTTGTTTTGCTAAACTTATGAAAGTGACTGATGCATGCTTTACTGAAAAATGCACATACCCATATGTGCATAAGCAATGTACAGTCGAGGCTTATCTTACAGGTTTGACTGTTGGGACCGTTAGGGACACAACCGATGACATTTCACCTCATGCGGAACGGTTGACAGGTAGGAACAAGCAGTGCTGGCGGGCCCTCATCCCCTTCCACCATGTCGGGCAGGACCACTGGGAGCACGACCCGTTCGGCGCAGTGAAGACGGCCGCCGGCGACATTTTCGCCCGCGGCACGCAGGACATGAAGTGCGTGACCATGCAGTACCTGGAGGCGGTGCGGGAGCTGAAGGCGCGAGGCGTGCAGCCTGTCCGCACCGTCCACCTTAGCTTCGTGCCCGGTGCGTGCTGCGAGATCAGACGACATCATATCACGCCCGTATGGTGGACTCGATCACGCCTCAGTACTGCGCTGTTTAAGCGGTTCAGTTTGTGCTCGTGTCTGACGGGCCATTTTTTTGACACGTCCTTCGGCAATGCAGCACACATGCTTGTACATCTGCAATCTTCCATTTATGTCGCGCGATGTGTTTCTAAAGTGAGCTACTTCAGTGCTTGTTGGTCTTCCGATGTTCGGTACGTTTGCCCAGGCACATTTTGTTCCACCACCACCACCTTCCGACTGCTGCCCAAAAAAGCGCAAACCTGTGCGTGCGCAACGTGCCCAGGAGTTTGACAACGTCAGAAGCAAGAGGGGCCTAACGTGTCCCCGTCGCTGCGGGAAAACAGGGAGATGGCTAGCGTGAGCTCCCACAAGCGCGGAAGTGTTGGTGCCTGACACGAGGAGGCGTGTGACGTCTCGGCCCCGGCAGATGAGGAGATCGGAGGCGTGACGGGCATGAAGGCGTTCGTCGAGACAGACGACTGGCAGCGGCTGAACGTGGCCTGCGCCCTGGACGAGGGACTGGCCAACCCCTCCGAAGAGATGACCGTCTTCTACGGCGAGCGGCACACCTGGAGTGAGTTGGGGTGGACGGCAGCGGCAGCGGTAGCTTGGTCCGAACACGTCTCAGACTCCAGTTCCGACGGCTGGCTGGCACAAGTTAAGATGTAAAACAGTTGCAAATCAATGAGATGTGCCAGTTTTGTTTCCATACAGGTTGAAAGTTAACGTTTTTTCTTGACTTCTATATGAAAAGAATCAGGTAATAAGTTTGTGGGTCTTGGGTCTCACCGACTGTCTGGCCATTTCGAGACGGGCGGTAGGTTTTTTGGTGTGCCGCCCGATGCGTCTGCTCCGCCTGTCCTCCTCACCACCTCGGTCGGTCCGGCCGGCCCAGCCGGTCGTCGCAGGCGGCCCTCGAGTCACAGAGGCGGACGGCTCCAGGTTATCACAACGGGATGTCTTGATTAGGTGTCGTGTGGCGGTAGTTGGTGGGGCCGCGACAAGAACGTAGGGCTGGCGGATCCATAGCCAAGCTCCCCAACCACTGCACCACAGTCTCTCGAAGAGAATGAGCTAGAAATCATTGGAAAACAAGCTGCAGAGCTTCAGAGGATGGTCAATCCATTGCTACCAAGGAGTACAGGACCCTACATTGCAAAATGCAAACGCAGGCTGCCCGGGTTAATTTTATAGTCGTACCGCGTTTGACGTCAAGTGCCTTATGACTTCCTCCTCATTGAAACAAGATGTCAAATATCACATGATGCTCCTATCTGTTTTTCAACAAGGGTAGACTGAACATACAAAAAAGTTTCTGAATGTTTTGATTGTGTTGATTTATTTTTCCGTATCGGAGATAACGCAATGCATGTCACAAGTGCTAGCCTAGATAGATGATCGGATCAGGCTGTTGGCCTCAGCGTTGGAGCGTCTCGCCAGCGGTAGCCTGACCCGTGTACGCGCGCAGAGGTGGAGGTGACCTGCTGCGGCCGCTCCGGCCACGGCTCGCGGTTCCTGCCCGACACGGCCGGCGAGAAGCTGAGCCGTGTGCTGCAGTCGTTCCTCGACTACCGGCGCCAGCAGGAGCAGCTGCTGGCCGACCACCCCGACTGGAAGCTGGGCGACGTCACCACCTGCAACCTCACCATCATCAACGTAAGGACGGCGCCGAGCGCGCTGAAGCGCAAGCCGGCGGTAAACATCAGCGGCTGTGTTTGTTTTAGTGACGTAGGATTTTAACAGCGCCGGTGCTGGTCTGCCTTAGGCTGTATGTGGTTGTCGGAAGCTGTTGGCTGGCAAGGTTTTGCCATCGGACAGGGCGATAATCTGTGGGTATGCCCTATGCCCACACCAATGGACTGAAATCAGGAGGCGCGTTATTTCAGCCTGGAATGTGTGCATTTGTGTTTTAATAAGCACGCAAGTTCCCTGTGAAATTGTGCTCAATGATCGATGATCAAAACTCGTCGCGACACATGCCCACACTTGTAATCTAGATCGCCTGATAACGCAGACACCAGGCACGGTACCCGAACGTTGCGGGGTCCGTCGTTCCTGCTGTGACGTGTTCCCCGGCGCCACAGGGCGGCATTCAGCGCAACGTGGTACCGGACAAGTTCCACGCGTGCTTCGACTGCCGGGTGGCGCAGCGCACGCCGCCGGACGAGTTTGAGGCGCTGGTGCGCGACTGGTGCCGGCAAGCTGGGCCCGACGTCACGTACATCCTGTCGCAGAAGGAGGACAACCTGGAGAACAGTCCCATCTCGCCGGACAACCCCTGGTGGAGCGCCTTCTCCGCCGCCCTCGCCAGACTGTAAGTGTCGCTAAGGGGTGAGCGGATCGTCGGCGCGGTCCAAGTCGTGTCGTCTGCCCTGGAGGCAGAGAAAGAGTTGCGTTTCCCGGATGGTGGGCGTGAGTTACGCTCTTTCTGGAGGGATCGCTGTGAGCTGCTGACTGTAGGGACGGATGTTGGGTTTCCGTATTTCCGGAAATCTTCTGCGCCGCTCAAAGCTCCGCAGAATTCATCGGACACTGCACGTGTTTAGGAGCGAACGCTTGCATTCTCCCTAAAGCGCAAATCGTGTCCATTCACGCCGCTTGCGGCTGAGGTGACTTGATGTGCGGACTGTTCGACTCCGATGTTCGGGACCGGCTGAAGTCGTGGGCGGGCTCACACGAGCACCCAGAGCAGACCCGCTGTCCCTGCTTCCGTGCCGTGCCCCAGCTGACCTTGCGTCGCCCCGGCAGCGGGGTCAGCACCTGCCCCGAGATCTTCCCGGCGGGCACCGACAGTCGCTTCATCCGCCGGGTGAGAGGCCGCCTCGTCACCGGGCCGTCGTCTGCTGCGGCTGCCGCGCCCCGCCGGTGTTGAGACCCGTTTGCGTGGCATGGGGTATTGTGAGGCTGATGCCGCTTTAGGTTACTGCCGGTGCGTGGGCTTTGGTCCTGAATGCCCGCGTCAGGCATGTGAACCGTGCTGGCGCCAGACTGCTTGTATCGGATTGTCGATGTGACCGCTTTTCAGCTCAGTTTTCCACGATGCAGTGGTGCTTTCTGAACTAGATGGCTGCATAATACTGCTGTTACATGAGACTATCATGAGGCCTCGTATGTTCGCGGACGTAAAATCTACGAAGTAGTTGTCCATTTCATAAATGTAACCCGTATAAACCCTTGCCGACGCACCATTGCGTCGATGAAAGGAAAGACGGTCATCAGACGCCATGCGCTTGGTTTTCAGCTGGGGATTCCCTGCTACGGATTCTCGCCGATGAACCGGACTCCGATCTTGCTGCACGACCACAACGAGTTCATCAACGAGACCGTGTTTCTTGAGGGCATTAAGGTCTACGCCGAGTTGATCCCCAGCCTGGCACGCGTTCCTGCCTAGGCCGTGCGGGGTGCCGCTCGTGGAGGGGGTGGCGCCGCTGTCCGGCGGCTGGCGCGGCCGTCCCACTGTGGTGGACCCAGCACCGCGGGGTGGTGCTACTCTCCGATAGCGGGCACCATTCTGCGATATCCATGTTGATTATGGCGGTATATATTTGCCATCCTGCGTACATGGGGGGGCCGTGGCAGTGATGCTAGTGGGGAAGGCTGTGATAGGCCGATGCCAGATTACCCTGGGGGACTAGATCTAGTCTTTTGGGCATGTAACGATAGATTGCCTAGCAGGGAAATATCATAAGCGCTTCGATGTGTCAGTGTATACGCGCTGTGTTGTTGGGTAGTTCATGGAATACAGGTTCGTCGGAATGATTCGCGAGGAATAGCTATGGTTTACAGCAAGCGGATTGCATCGGTATGTAATGCGTCCATGGCGTGACCGCCGGGAGAGGCTGGATTACCTGCATGTGCTCAACTTTCCTTCAAATACAAGCATTTCATGTTTCCATTGCATGTTCTTGCTATTTATACCGTATGTGAGGATGTTTGAAGCCGCTCTCGCGCCTTTTTGCTTTAAGGTAAACACATATTTGTTTACAAGCAGCGAACGAAATGCCGTTGGCCCTGTCGTTCTTTTTCCGGTGCGGAGCTGTGGTGGGCCTCGACGGGCCCATGACAGGTCCCATGTTTAGCATGCGCTCGCGCTGCTCTCCCTAAATTTGTCGCCAACACACGTGCTGAGGGCTGGCGCGTCAGTCGGCTTCCAGGAACGCTGCGCGGCCAGGAGTGGCTGTGACGGCGTCACTGGCAGCGCGACCGGCGTCCCGTTAGTCGCCAGCGACGGCCGCCCGCCCGCTGGCCCGCTGCCGGCCCCAGAAATAACGGGCCCGCGCAAGAGCGGCGCCAGGCGGCCGTCGGGGGACGGCCCGTCCCGGGAGCCGAGGTCCCGGGGCGCAGGCGCGTACTCAGCGTCCAGGTAAGGGGCAGACCATCGCTGTTGAGGTCCATGGATAGGTAATGTCGCATCGCGTGACTGATGACCTGAGCTGGCCAGTGTTTGCCTGGCGGACAGATCCGGCCGGGCGCTGGGGCCGCCACTGACGCACGCCCGCCACCGGCCCGGACGGCTCGATACAGATAACTCACTATCGGCTGTCCACGTGGAACTCTGAATGGTTCGGCTCGACTAGCCCCGGCATAACAAAACTTTGCTATCTCACAACCAGTCGAAGAGATCGAACCAAGTTGCTGGACGGTGGTCCACGTGGACCGATCCGGCAATATACACATTCCCTGCGGAGAATAATACGCATTAACAAGCTGCATGAATTTGCCGCCATCATCTCGAAGCAGCCCCGCCCGAGAGCGGCGAGTTGGGCACGGGGCGAGATATTCCCGTTGTAGGATCGTTCCGTGTACGCTGGATGGATTGTGCATGCTGTCCCACTGCGCGGCGTGTGGGGCTTTCAGGACGCGTCGCGAGAAAACATGAGTCCCTTCATTTTTCAGCAGCGATAGCTGTAAGCTTCATGCTCGCGCATACAGCATAGTTGACATTTACACTCATGGTTATCAAACTCAATACATCACGGACGTGATGACAGTTTTCTGGAATATCTTGGATGCAGCCGCGTCCCCAACTACCGGCCAAGCTCCGAGCCCCAAGCTCCGCTACGCGATACTCCTCTAGGGTTTTTTTTATTCGATGAGCTATTACCTTCATTTCAACGCATCTTATAGTGCGAATCCCGGTAGCAAAGGATATGTGGCGTTGGTATCTCCGTCACCTGGCCCACCTTACCATTTATTGCTCGTTTTTGGAACATAATTCGGTGCACAATTTTTTACGTGGCTCAAGCGTAGGCTGCCTTATTTCCCGCCACAATTCCCCTCTTATCCATTTTCTCACTGTTATGCCTCCCTCCATCCTCGGTACCATGATCCATGACCTTCGTTTATCGTGCGGCTGACGCCTGGTGATGATGGTTCAACGGGGCATTGCCGTGGACACGGAGCGTGGCTGGTAATCGAGCACGAGGCTGCATCCGGGATATTCCAGAAAACTGTCAATACGTCTGTGGTGTGTGAAAAGTGCAAACTCAAATTTCCTTTGCATCCCAAAAATCGTCGCGAATACTTCTGGGCGCCACTCAAGGCAATGGGCTGCACTCACAGCCCTGCAACGATGCGAGATTTGCCGACGGGGAGACGGTGAACTTTTAAACTGGCCCAACACGTTTATATTTTAAGTGGCTCACGATGAAACCCTCGTATATATTCTCTTTACGCCTCACCCTTTGGCGTGGCCTCGGTCTATAACAGTTTGACGGCTGGCAAGAACGGCTGTGCCCTCTGCTGATCATGTTAGGGGGCGCAAGGTAATGCAAGATAATTCTGCCAACACAATGTCATGCGTATAATGGGATTTCCATGTCATTGGGAACGTCTCCCGGTGGCCCCGGTTGCACCGCCCCTGAGCAGGATTTGGGCTTTGGGTATGGTAGCCAGCGAGCTTTCAGCCGGAAATCCCTTCACTAGCTGAAAGCACAGTCAGCTCTGCAGGGATGCATTTAGCAGCAACGGGGTTGTTCAAAGAAACGTCGTTTCTGATATGGCCCGAACCCTATTGATTTGCGCCGGACATAGTTCTAGTATAAGTACTTAAATGGGTACGAATTAGTAACAGGATTATGGCCAGAAGGTACAAGCGTACCCGTGTTGCCATATTTAACGGCAAGCACCGCATCGGGGACCCGCGGAGGCTCCGTGGCGGGGGGCGTAGGTCGTCTTGCTGAAATCCGGGAATCCGAAATTCGTGCAATATTCCTTTCCTCTAGTCATCAGTGTCATATGTTGGGTATCTGTTATTGGTATATTACTGAAGAAAACGTATCAAGAATGAGCTTTTGCACCGATGATTCCTGCTGAAGGAGCGTGGACTTTGCTGGTCTTAAATCGGGCTGATAATGGCAGTTTTCCTCGTGAATATTTGCAAATTCAACGGCTGTGGATTGACGTATCCATCGCTTGGAGACCTAATTCAGCACATAGAAGAAACCCATATAGGTAAGCCGCCTATCTTGCCGTGGTAGAATGCAAGGGGGCGTTTGCGTCGCATTTGCCGCGGGTTCGGTGCATGTGTAGGAACGCCCCCTCGTCATTATTATTATGCAAACAAATCAACAATTGTAAAGCATTGGTTGAAAGAACCTTCTAATCTTCTTCAAAGGAGATTTTCATCTGATCACAGCTTATGTTGCAAAGCTAATATTAAGAAAAACCACTACCTATTTTTATAGGAGCTAATACAAGTGTTGCTTAAGGCAAAATATATATCATGGCTGCAAAGATTTTCGCTAAAACATTATCATGTAACTGCAACCATGTAGATGTGTTTTGGGAATAGTGTTATCAATTGGTGGGCCTAGGAATGAAAAGAAATGATTCAGTTGTAAGAATGTTATTTTGTTTCAGCTGTAGGGTTTGGTTTGTTATTGCTCAGGCCTTTGAAATTCATCTACATTTATATTTTCATTGGATATTTTTTATGAATTTCAGCCTTTGATATCATGAAAATCAACATCAATATGTAACACCATAACTGAAAAGGTACAGGTCTGGCAAAATGATCTTTAACACCCCAAACATGAAGGAAAAGGGTGCTGACAATGACTTTCTTAGCTTTTTGCTATTGCATCAGCTAATGTTACTGTTTCTCTTCCAGACATGTAAAAATTACAAAACTTGGCAAGTTCATTGACTGTTTAAATTTTCTAGCCTTTGGACTGACAAAGCACTTTTGTATCTTGCTTTGGCATACAGGTCCTGATTAATGTTACTAAAATTACTAGACATATGTCCATAATGTATATATGAGGACAAATGTAGCTCATCTCAGAAATCTTCCTGCAGAAATATAGTATTCTCAAACAACTTAAATGGGCCACACTGTGATTCCAGTTAATGTTCCTGGTTCGGTTGGTATGGGCTACCATGAAATTAAGATATAATTTGTATCTTAACCCTGCAGTATATTGCATGTGATAATTTTTGCATTGTGTGTTTTCCATTCAGCTCACATTTAATAAAGATCAATAGCAATGTATATGGTTGTTTACATACCTTCCAAAATGTTAGTATTTCCAAAACAATAGAAGATTGTATCATAGGTTTGGAACTAATTTAGAGTTGCATTTTGTTGTAAAGCTAGGAAAGTTGTATCATGAAGTAATTCAATCCAGAAAAGGAGTAAGGATTTTGGTATAGCAATGCTTTGGTACTGTGAGGCACATCTTTGCTATTGTGATGATCACTTATGGTCAAGAAGTTATGCTGGAAATCTGGCATGTAGTGTTGCTATTGAGCAAACTTAAAAGTTGAGTATTGCACTGAAACAAGTTTGGGTACTAGAAGGCAAAGCCAATGGTATAAAATATTAAAGTACTCTCTTTGCTAGTAGCATTCTGCTTGGATATCACATTGTAAACTGTCCATGGGTACTTGTGGTGATGTACATGCACCATTCTTGAATAGATGATAAACTTCTGATATTGATTTATGTTGTAAGGTAACGTTAGATGAAATGACATGGATTTGCATAGTTATATATAGAACATGTGCATATTTTCAGCAACTTCATACAATTTGTGATGACTTGAGTGCATGCCAATATGCCACTGGCAGTTAAATGCTAGTATTGTTACTCATTACTGGTTCTAGTCTTACATAGATCAGTCTCCACTTGCATAGTTTGAACATGTGATCAGGTGGTTCACCGTTTTCTGTCAGTGTCCTTGTCCTGCCTTGGTGCATATCCATGCATCAAAGGTAAGCCAGACTGGCACCAGAACCACACAAGGTGTGCTCGGGCGCGTGGTCTGGTGTCCGGCGTGTAACCATGCCACCCTCTCCTCTTGGCCAGACTATGACCCGTGCAATCAGGAGCAGCAGGAGCGGCAGCAGCCCTCCTGCATCCCCCTCAGCTCGGCGCTGCGTTTCTTCACCAACGTGCCGCGTAAGAGCGGTGGCCCGGCCAAGGTGGCGCCGCAGGCGGCGGCGGTCGTGGCCGGCGGCGGCGGCGGCGGCAGCAGCGGCGGCGGCGGAGGCGGTGCGGCCGGCCTGCCCGGCCTCGGCCGCGCCAGCTCCACCGGCAGCGCCTCGCCGTCAGGTCGGTGCACGGAGGAAGGCGTGCAGGGGCGCGGCCTGCCCGCCACCGGGGACTTCTCCACCAATCGGCCGATTCGTTTTGTCTTCCTCCCACGAGATATGGTTGGGTGACCCATGCACAATAGGTTGACTTTGTGGTGTTCATAAGATTTGGTGTTCATGAAATTTCATTGTTTGATTACACTCTCATTGTGAAGTGGCAATGCATAAGGTTACAGGGATAAGACTTGCAAAAAACAACACATTCTTCACTGATCTCAGAATCATGCCATAATGCCATTTAGTACATCTCTTTTCTTGAGTATTTTTTGTACACATTTTTATATTTGTGCAAAGTTTGGTCACAGCGTGGGCCCTATGGGGGGTCAACACATGACAGTGGTTCCTTAATTTTAGCGGTGTAAATTTTAGTCCAAGGCCTCCCGTCTGAATACGGTGCAGAAGTTGCAATCTCAAGGTTATTCTGAATTGTTTTCGGTTCGCGTAGCTACTTGTTGGCCTTCATTTACTGTTCCTGCTAGCGAAATTTCAGGGAAATTTTTTTAATGGCATGGCAAGACTGACAGTGGAATTACTACATGTTTGGGGGACAACGCCAACGTAATGTTGCCATTGATGACTTCGCCCCCACTTTTGAGATGTGGAAGATCTAATGAGACCAGATAAGCTAACACGAGTGAATATGTTAGAAAGGCCGAGGCGAATGTATATGATAATAAAAGCACCGACAGTCGTACTTCTGTGTTATGTAAGTCAGCACTTCGCTACTTACCGTTGAGCAGGGGCAACGCAGTCATCGAGCTCGTACACGCTTTGTGCAACCGTAGGTGCTGCCTCCATGCATCGTGTCATTTGATCGGCTTTAGCCTGAGAACTAACTCCACCAATAAATCACTTGTCACTTCAGTCCAAGTGCTGCTTCGTTTACGTCATCTCGGTTTCTGAGAGCTCCCATGGTTCAGCACATGACCAAGTCTGTGATGCCAGCAGTGGACAAACTGCCACTTTATATCGCCCGTTTTACGTGCATTCCGTGTTTCTTCTCTACCGCCGTTTTTATGGTGGGCCGTCATGTCGGCACTCGTGCTGTGTGTCGTCTCCGTCCGCCCCGCTGTGTCTCTATCACTGCTGTGTCGTCTGTCCGTCCCGCTATGTCTCTGCCCCTGCTGTGTCGTCTCCGTCCGCCCCGCTGTGTCTCTATCACTGCTGTGTCGTCTGTCCGTCCCGCTATGTCTCTGCCCCTGCTGCTGTCGTCTCCGTCCGCCCCGCTGTGTCTCTATCACTGCTGTGTCGTCTCCGTCCGCCCCGCTGTGTCTCTATCACTGCTGTGTCGTCTGTCCGTCCCGCTATGTCTCTGCCCCTGCTGTGTCGTCTCCGTCCGCCCCGCTGTGTCTCTATCACTGCTGTGTCGTCTGTCCGTCCCGCTATGTCTCTGCCCCTGCTGTGTCGTCTCCGTCCGCCCCGCTGTGTCTCTATCACTGCTGTTGTCGTCTGTCCGTCCGCTATGTCTCTGCCCCTGCCTGTGTCGTCTCCTTCCGCCCCGCTGTGTCTCTATCACTGCTGTGTCGTCTGTCCGTCCCGCTATGTCTCTGCCCCTGCTGTGTCGTCTCCGTCCGCCCCGCTGTGTCTCTATCACTGCTGTGTCGTCTGTCCGTCCCGCCATGTCCCTGCTGCTGCTGCGTAGTCTCCGTCCGTCCCGCTGTGTCTCTGCCACTGCTGTGTCGTCTGTCCGTCCCACTATGTCTTTGCTACTGCTGTGTAGTCACCGTCCGTCCCGCTGTGTCTTTGCCACTGCTGTGCCGCCCCCATCCGTCCCGCTGTGTCTCTGCCACTGCTGTGTCGCCTCCGCCTGTCCCGCTGTGTCCCTGCCACTGCTGTGTCGCCTCCGTCCGTCCCACCGTGTCTCTGTCGCTGCTGTGTTGCCTGTCCGTCCCGCTGTGTCTCTGCTGCCGGTTTGTCGCCTCCGTCCGTCCGGCTGTGTCTCTGCCATCGCGGTCGTACGCCGCCAGTGGCGAGCGAGGAGCCCGAGTACGACATCATGACCGACTCCGAGGACAGCAACGACTCATGGACCACTCAGGAAGAATTCTCGGCGGAGTTCATCATGCGCTACGGCTCAAAGTGCGTCGCCAGGGGCCGCTTGTGACGTGCATAATGTGATGACATGTAACATTTCATGATGTCGTACGCGCACCAGTGCATTTGTTGCGAGAATCAGTGATGGCCGGTGACTGCCTTTGAGATATCGACCCAAAGCGATAAACTTAAACTTGTATTGTGTCGTGAACAAATATTGTCGCGTCAAGCTTGTATTGTGTAATCTCATTTAGTTGTGTTCGCAGCGCGGTATGCGCGGAACCAACGAGTAATTGTGTTATGAATCGCTTAGCACAACGCCATTTTGGATCGCTCTAAACGCTTGCTCCTTCCAGAATGGCCAATCCAAATGGCAACGAAGAGAAACCGTACTCTTGCCCCGTACCTGGCTGTAAGAAACGTTATAAGAACGTTAATGGTATTAAGTATCACGCGAAAAACGGTCATAAAAAGGACGCCAAGTAAGTCCCGCTAGTTGATGTCAGTCACGCGGTGATTGGCTGGATGGAGGGTGTAACAGCATGACGCTTTGTCGGTGCTGACGGCCGGCGCGTGAACTGTCGTCCAGCACGTGGGGTAATCGGACGCCAATTCTCCCGGATTATCGGCTCTCGCTTTGGACTGTCAGGTGTTCGTCTTGTTTGGAAGTTGCGTTGGAGCTGTTGGTGATAAAGGAGGACGTGTTGACATCTGCGCTAGTGTCATGCGGTCCATGACAGTAGTTTTGTTGGACAGAATTCGGAAGGCGTTCAAGTGCCACTGCGGCAAGAGCTACAAGACGGGTCAGGGTTTGAAGAACCACGCGGTGATGAACCACGCCGGCACGCCGCTGACGACCATCACCACCTCCATGGGGGAGGTGCTGCAGATCCCCACCAGCCAGGTGAGGAGACGCGCCCCCGCCCCGCGGAGCGGCACGCGTCCGCGCGCTCGGGCAGTGCGGCGCCGGGGTTTGCCAGCCAGAGTGCCGACAATGATGGATGCGTTGCGTGGGCCGCCGGTTGTGGGTCGGCTTTCTACTGCCGATGTTGTGTGGCCTGTGGGAGCGAAGTCTGTGCGTCACAGGTTGCCGTTATTGTGCGCCGCTCCGACAGCTTCGGCGTCTGCCAGAGTCGTAAATGTGCCCCACGTGGAAAATGCCGAGATTTGGTACCAACCTTGCTTTGCCTTTCTCTCCATAAGTAGTGCCATAGCGCACGGTGGTAATTGCCGTGGTGTTTACGCGCATCGTAAAATAGGCGGCATCGGAGCGGAGTTTGGCCGTGTGGTGACTATCTCGGGTCGCCTGCCGCGGGCCGTATTTTAAGGTTCACCACTGCAGTCGACTTAATAGTCCTCAACGCGAGTGACCGCCACCGTCGCATGCGGCGTGTGAAGCGACGTGTGAAATGGCGCGGGTAACGTTGCTTCGTGCGCCGTAACACACGCCGTAAAAAAACAAACGTTATCAGCTGTTGTTGAGACTGCTTTGCTGACAAGTTGATCCGTAAACCGATTTCGTGTTATCAGCGATGTATGTACCCAGCCGCAGAGAGGGGTTTACACACACTGTGGATTGTAGTGATACTGCATGTGTGCCACGACTCATGCATGTTGGTTTAATGTTGCATGCGACGATAAAGATTACGGTAAAACTAACGCTAGAAACTCAGTCATCTCAAATCCTTTATATCAGCAGAGATTGATCAGGTTTGTCCTGGGGCATCGGCTGTGTCGTCAGTCTCCGGTGGTGCCAGCGCGGCGGCCCAGATGGTGCTTTGGAAGCTGATCGCTTGCCCCAGCGCGCCTCTCGGCTTTCAGATGCCCGTGAGCCACCGGCTGGCGGACGTCCACCGTCGCCCCTGGCGGCTGTCTGGCCGAGCTGACCTTGTGCGCGCCGCCGGCAGGTGACGACGCTGCAGCCGGTGCGGGTCAGCCTGAGCGCGCTGATGGGCGGCGGTCTGAACGCCATGCCGGTGAAGACGGTGGCCGCGCGCCACCTGCTCAACACCACGTTCAAGGACAGCATGCGTCGCGCGGGCGAGACCGCCAGCGCGCCGGCGCGGCACGAGGAAGAGCGCGGCCCGCAGGCCATCACGCTGACCGGCGTGTCGCGAGGCAACACCATACAGGTAGCGGCTCGGGGGCGCGGAGCTGGCCGCGGACGCCGGCTGCGGTCGGGCGGCAGGAGCGGCACCGTTGTGACGGTATGGCGTAAGGAGCCTGGCGGAGTGGCAGCGCGGAGACGCTTGTTAAGTTGTGATGAACTAGGTCAATGTGCAGGGGTCGGACTCCGGGGAGCGGGACACACGGGTCGTGCAAGTGACATCCGTTCAGCTTAGCTGGGAAACGGCGACCGGGTGGGGATTGGTGGTGGGGCGAGCTGATTGTCCGATACAGAGGCCTGTCGTGGCCAGGAGGCGTATGCTGATGTATGGTAAGTAGCCAAGTATTGCTATTCTACTAGGTTGGTTATCGATGAACATATTGCCGATTACTCACACTGAGTTCGCGCCATGGTTCGAGGATATCTTGTTTCCAAGCATATGTTGGTGTCATGCATTTCTTGAAAATTCTTGAAGAGGATGGCTATATTCAGATCGGAAGGCAGGTACCGCCGATGCGGGTCGTGCAAATACTTATAATGAGGAGCAACTGGCTTAAATGACATGATGTGATGCGCGATGATTGTGCTGTCCAATTTGTTACTTGGGATCCCCCTTCCTCTCCGATCCATGGGGGCTGCTGGCTGAGGAGTTATGCTGGCGAGGACTGGCTTGTCATTGCCGTTCTTAAAGCCCAAAGTTACCAGGAAGGATATTTTCCATACGGCAACAGTTTCGGTGTCAACCGGGAGATGCCACCGAAGGACGCGTCTTCTTTTATTTTCTTTTTGCTCATCTCCTGATTTCGACCCGCCGACCCGATCCGTTACGTAGCGACGGTACCACTCACGTCTAGCCGAGTGAGTTTACTGCAGTATTGATCTCTTCTCGCACGTTTTCTGGAACTCTCCGACCACATTTCAGCTGACAGGTACCCTGTTTGCAGCCCACTGGCGCTGACAGGACCAGATGCTTGGTTTTGAAGCCCTCGATTTTGTTTTGAGGAGTTCGTGCCCATTGTCTTTTTTAACTTTCTTTGTTTTGAGGAGTTCGTGCCCATTGCCTTTTTCACTTTGGTATGGCGGGCGTCTGGGTCTTGCAGATCCAGGCCAGCGTCGTGGGCTTGCAGGTCTAGGCCAGCGTCGTGGGCTTGCAGCTCTAGGCCAGCGTGCGGGGCTAGGTCTGAGAGGCCAGCGTCTTGGGGTTGCAGGTCTGGGAAGTTAGTGTCCTAGCTTACATGTCTAGGAGGTTAGTTTCCTGTTCGGTATGGATTGGTTCTGAGCACAGTGACACATTTGAACTGGAAGTGACGGGAAGACAGAATTGGGAAGCTTCGTTATGACGTGGGCTTGACGCAGAGATGGGAGCGCTCTGGCTGTCACTGGTGTTGTTTATGGCAGAAAAATTGATCGAATGATTACTATCAAACAATACTGACATGCTGCCAGTAAACCAGGACAGCTCACTCGAACCATTGGGGATGTCTGACGTGGTGCACACTTCAGAGCCCCACGCAGTCACTGTAACTGTTGCTGGCAGAGTAGCCTCGGCAACCGCTAGGGTGGCGGCGGCAGTACCTGGCAGGGTGGCGGTGGTATCCGGCAGGGTGGCGGCGGCGGTAACTGGTAGAGCGGGGGCAGTATCAGGCAGGGTGGCGGCGGTATCCGGCAGGGTGGTGGCGGAATCCGGCAGGGGGGCGGCGGCGGTAACCAGCAGAGTAGCGGCGTTGGCAATGGATAGCGGGACCGCGGTAGCACCCGGCGGATTGCTGGCTTCGGTACGTTATAGTGGAGCTATAGAGGCCGGCAGGGTGGCGATAGTAGCTGACAGGCTGGCAGCAGTGCCCGTTTGAGGGGCCCCGGTAAGCATGCAGGTTGGGTCGAGCTGCGTTTTCGCATCAGGGATATCTGAAATGCGAAAACACCTGATGTTCAAGGCTGGATGCTGGTTGATCTCAACCAATAGTGAACACGAGAGGTTGGAAACAGCTGGCCGGTCGGGGGTGAACGAACACAGACAAACGCCACGGAACGGTGGTGTGCGAACCTCTCAAGAACTGTCCGCAAACACCAAACCTCGGATGGGAGAAAATTTATGCCAGTTGCAACAGTTGCGCGGACAATCCACTCATGCCATGACAGCACGACCAAAGTAAGTAGAGCAATTCGTGTGGTGCGACTTGAAGCATGTTCAAGAATCGCATAGTTTAATACGCACCAGCCTAACTAAGATGTCGTGGGTCCTAGTTCCCCCTCATTGGCTCTCAACAATAGACAAAATATAATGTACCTCATACATGATTCGATTTATGTGCACTTTGGTCTCTCCGCAAATGGACACGCTAAAAGTAAGCGGCAATGCTCTGCAAAACTAAAAATACTCTATACGGAATGCTAGTAGGTAATACCTAATACTACCTAGATGATAAGTAATACTACCTAGAAATGTGTTAAACGAGCGGGCTTACATTAACAAAACGAATTGGGTCATTACTATAAACGCGCATACATTGAACTCGATGCAGATGCCATTTCCTCAAGAAAATGTTAGGAACACCAAACGCTGCGTTCCGCATCACCTATTTTTCCAAGTAACCATATCACTGCCATGTGCAAGAGCTGCTTACCGAAAGCCAGGACAAGTTGAAGGTTGAAGAACTTATGCATAAAGCAAAAGCGCGAGACCTGAGGGGGGGGGGGCAAGGAGGACGAGGACTGAGCCCCCAGCCTTCTGCAAAGGTCATTGGGCGTACGGGCATTTACTGAAAAAGTGACTATGAATGGTTGTCGCCCCCCCCCCCCCCCCGCCAACTCGGGAGGAATTCCGCCGCCCCTGACAGACAGGCTTCGTGCGATTGCAAATGTATCTTCAGCATGGAAAGACTGATGGGTGAATATCAGACAATGTTTGTTGGGGGAATAGTTTTGGCCATGACTTACCGACTGCCAGATGACGCTTCTTCTTTGCTGCAATCGTCCCGGTGCAGTATTTGCCGCTGTGCCTCAGTCGCACTCTGCCTCCAGCCTCCAGCGTTGACCCAGGCATAAGTCGCAGATCTTAAATAGCAACATAGTGCCATTCCCCGAAAGATGTGTCATTCCAGTCTACTCTAACCACTGGTCGTTTTTTCCTCTTCTTGTCGTCCATGGATGGTTCACTTAGGTGAAAGCGGGTAAAATTGAAATGCTTAAATTCTGGTTAAAACTCAATCAGACAACTAGAAGTCAAGTTGTTCCGTCGTCCGCGGGCTAGCCGAATCTGGCTCTACATAAGGTTTAGGAACGAAGAATAGGTAGTCCATGTGGTGGGGCAGAGGCGTAGCCATAATTTTTTACGGCGCGGGGCGAGGCGATGCTCAGCGATAAATAATCACGTTGATTTTAGACGTGTGTGAGAAACCATCTTCGCTACTGACAAATATCCAGGCCTCGGAATCCCAGCTTGGGCCCTTGCCCCCCCCCCCCCCCTCCTCCGATCCGTGGCTGCGCCTCTGTAATTATTCACGTGCAACCGGCAGCACGCGCAATCACCACGCAGCCTTAGTACTACTTCTGAGAATACGTGTTTTTTGTGACGGTAAATGCATCGGTATCGAAAGCGTTTTTGGCAGGCAAAAAGCCGTCTGTTCCATTTTGGACAGGACAGTGGCTGTCCTGCCCCAGAATTAAGGTCTCATTCCTTGTCCAAACGGGTTTTCACGGGCCGCAGTGTGGTGCTCCGTAGCACCTTCACCGCGCCACCGCTCGCTAGATGTCGCCGCAGTTGTGCTGACCGCCGCCTCTCCGCCGTGCCGTCAGGTGGCAGTGCCGGCGTCGGGGATCATCCCGCTGGGCGGCGACAAGGAGCTGACGGCTGTGCCCGTGTCGCGGCTGCTGGCGCAGGGGCTGGGCGCCGGACTCAAACTGGCGCAGATCGGCGCGCCGGCCGCCACCGCGCACGTGGCGATCGCACACGCGGCGCGCGCCGATCCCGCCGCTACAGTCGTCAGGGTCGAGCAGGTGAATGGGCCGCGTCGGTTAGTGGTCGGCAGTGGGCATTCCCGTGTAATCTTGCCGTGTGGTGCTGTTGGGCGCCACAGGACTAGGCCAGCTGACGCGTTCTAAAGCCCAAATCATCGTCATCGTCACCGGGTGCCCGATGTCTGTGTCAGTGATGGATCCATATGCAACTGAGGTACCGCTGAGCCTCATTCGGCGCAGAAGCTCCTACAATCAAGCAAAGTGACGTGCTTTTTATCGGGGTGACCATGACTTTCAGGCATTATTGTTTTGCCCCAGATCTTAGAATGCGGTAGTTGGCCTGCATTTGTCCCGAGCATGCGGATGAACAGCTTCTGCTGCATCGCTGAGCTATTGTCAGACATATTCAACAAAAGTGCATATAAGCCCCAACCCTGCTTTTCAGTCGTTTTGATCTCTGACTGCAAAGGGCTCGCTTAAGTCTCATATGCACCTTGATCACTGATTACAACAGCACTGGGAGGTATCAGTGGAATTTGGGCCCCTGCCGTGTCTGGTTTCAATGTTTCTCGGGAGACCTCGTCAGTCGCCCTCAGCGAGCGGAAGGCGGCAGGAGCTCGTTGGCTGGCTGTATATGGGTCCTGGGCGGGAGGGCTTAGGAGGTTTACCCATTATCGCCTCAACGCCACGACGGTGTATAGGATGTGAACTGTACCTGACCCTCGTCTCATCATCAGTCACGACTGTTACGACTATGTGCGCACTCGATCGCAGCCTCCCCTGCCTGGGGGCACGTGTCGGCCTCGCTCTGACCGCGCTGTATCGCCCGTCTGCAGGCGGGCGGGCGGCGCTCGGTCTGGGAGGTGGAGCCGTCGCGTCCGGCGACGCCGCCGGGCCAGGCGCTGCGTGCCGCCCTGCCGCCCACGCCGCTGACGCCCGGCTGGCAGGGCGCGCCGTTCCCGGAGGCCGGCGAGGACGAGCTGCCGCCGACGCCGTCCTCGCTGCTGGACGGCGCCGCCGAGCCGCTGGCCGCCGCGCCGGCGTGAGCCCGGCTGCCGCCGGCGCCCTTAGTCCAATAGAGCGTGCGTGGAGCGCGGTGTGCGTGTCGTGAGGCCGCGGCCGCCGCGCCGCGCGCCCCGGTGTGGTGTTGTGTCCGCGTGTCGGCAGATATTAGCGACCGGCCGGCCGCCTGGTGTTGTCACTCTTGGTCTAATGTTAAACCGCGGGGCGGAGCGGGCGGCGCGGCGCCGCCTGGCCGCCCCGTCCCGCGAGCCGCCCCGCCAGCCCGGGAGGCGAGGCGCGGAGCGGCTCGTCAGCCCCCGCCGTACTTATGCTCCCCTCGTGCCCGGAGTGGCGGGCGAGTTCAGGTACGGCGCGAACGGATCTTCATAACTCTGACTGCATGTGGTCGCAATAATTTCCGCGCCGCGCCGGTGGCGCGTTCGTGCGTGTTCTAAAGTACGCTTATCGGTGGATGGGCGGTCGGTGTGCGATGCGGCGTGGCGCCGGCGGCGGGCGGCAGTAGTCGGGGGTCCCGGCGCGCCGGGCCGGGCCGGCTGGGTCGGGGGCCGGCGGCGCCGCGTCCCCACCCGGCCGGCCCTAGTCGTTGTCGTTGATTCATCCTTGACAGGGTTGCCAGTGAACATTTTATAGATCATCCTTTCATAGTGTCTGAGTAGCGTATTCCGCGCGTGTAATGTACAATGTAATAAATACAGCCCCTTAGGAGCGATTGTGTGGCGTGTGGTGACGGTGCTCTGCTGGGAAGACGTTAGGTGCTGTTCATCACCTATGATGAACCTATGATCGCGCCTCGATGGTAGGCCTAGGGGAGAACGCTTGCCAGTACGTCTGTGATTTGCTCAGGAGATCCACGATAATCCTTTGGGTTCTTGAGTGTCTTCTGATTGTGAAATGTCCGTTAGGTTAACGCAAGGTTTGCGTTTTTGCGCCTGGCACTCGTTGGTTGAGTTGGTCGTTCCGAAGCCTTGGAGTGCGCTCCGCCCAGTCGCAGTGTCCCTGCAGGATCCCCACTTGTCCCGCAGCCTCGGAGCGCGCTCCGCCCAGTCGTAGGGATCCCCACTTGTCCCGCAGCCTCGGAGCGCGCCCTACTCAGCCGCAGGATCCACACTCTTCCCGCAGCCTCGGAGCGCGCTCCGCCCAGTCGGAGGGATCCCCACTTGTCCCGCAGCCTCGGAGCGCGCCCTACCCAGCCGCAGTCCCCAATTGATCCGCAGCCTCGGAGCGCGCCCTACCCAGCCGCGGAATCCCCGCTCGTCCCGCAGCCTCGGAGTGCGCTCCGTCCAGTCGCAGAGTTCCAACTCGTCCCGCAGCCCCGCAGCGCGCCCTACCCAGCCGCAGAGTTCCCGCTGTCCAGCTGAGTCCGAGGCCGACGCAACGCATGTTTGTCGCCTGACATGCTCGGTCGGAGGGCCTGGTTCGCACGGCCTTTTACGTGAGTACCGTGACGGAATTAGCCCATTAACTCTTGTCCACATGAGGAGCCAAACGTAATGTGACAAGGTCTGCCTGAGAATCCAGACCGGAGTGTAATCTGGAGGCAAGCTCATACTTGCGGCGGTGGTGCGTCGGCAGCATCAGTGCAATGCTGCGGCACGGTCTAACTGTGCCAGTGGTAAAGGTAAAGAATGCTGGACAACTGGTAAAGAATGCTGGACGTCGTAATGCTGGACGTCGTATCGTAACGTCGTTGTATTGTTTGTCGAATGTGCCGTAAAATGCGCTCACACTGAAGTCGAGCATCACGCTACAGCTGGAAGTTATTTAGGTCCCTTACGTCAGCTGCGTCGATGTGGTGCTAAACGGAATCACAGCCCGTCACGAAGCGCAGGATTTGTTGTCGCATGGTTTCAAAGGCGAAAAAAGACCTGGATCATTGGAGGCTAGGGGCGTCGGGCTTGGGAATAAGGCGGCTTTATTTTCACATTGGTGCGAATGCACCAACAGAGGATGGACCAATCTGTGTCCCTTACGTTAATTGCGTCGACATTGATAACAAGGCTGTATGCCGTCCTCGCGGCGACTGGGCTGGACTAGTTTGCCCACCTGAAGGATACCCTGGCTGTGTTTTTCTTGTATATCACGAAACAACTACACATTTCTGCAGCTCAACGGTCGCTTGTCGACGCACGCTGCCGCCACGACTGCATTACATTGCGCGTCATTTCCGAAGGATCTGCCGAAGTACTAGGAATCACCCCTATCTTGAAACATCAGTTAGTATCCCAACTGTCAGTGTCCTGTACGGTGCCGCCCTCAGCTGCTAGTGCGGGTGAAATGCTTGCGCCGATGCCAGAAGCAGCATTGCGCCCGCGGCTGGGCCACGGGCCCGTCCGGGTCACAGACCTCGCAGACCCGTCGCCGGTCGGCGCCCGCCCGCCCGCCCGTCGCCGTCGGCGCCGCTCGGTCGACGTCCGTCAGACGCACCAGGTCGCCTCGGTTTTGCGGCCGGTTATTCTGGCTGCGGTTGGAACGCGCGCTGCTAACGAGGCGGACGCTGGTCGCGGCCTCAGGCCAGATTCTGATCAAGTTGCGTCCCGTGCCCGTGCTGCTGTCGGTCAGCTCTCCAAGGGCAGGCTTCTTTCCTTGGCTTCGTTTCGCAGAGCCTGTGACGTCGGCAACCAGGGAAAAGTAGTGGAAAAATTAGTGCGGGTAGCGGTGTCGATTTGTATTAATTGATGTGGGCGCTAGGCCCCCGCCCCTTTTGTTGACCTCGAGCCCAAGGTTGGTGACGACCCTCGCAATATATTTTTTGTTGGAATCTTATTTAAAAAGAAAAAAAAGTTTACATCACGTAAGACCTGCTATCTTTCGGGCATTGTTTAATGTCTGTTTCTGATAAGTAGCTCAACAAGGCTAACGTTTGCATGGGGCTGAATACGACCCGGTGGACGGTCCGGAGGAGATGCGAATGGGCAAGCACAATTTCTGTGGCCTCTTTCCATGCAGCACCAATGTCTAAAATATACCATTAGCTGCAGGATCGAGGCTTATTTTCACCGGATATGTCGGCGGCTGTTACATCCATTTCTACCCACCATTTCCTGCGTAATGTCCACTGACGCATGATAAGAAACGGGTCAAAGATCGTCCCAGCCCCGGCCCTCTATACGCACCAAACTGTCTTAGAAATACCTATTCATTTATGTATAGAACAGCTGCAGGCCACGCCCGACCAGGCTCATATCATTCGAGAGCGTTTTTTTCGGCTGGCAGAGCACAAAGAAAAGTAGCCATGCTTCATGAGAAGCACCACAAAATAATTCCTTTGCCAGGATAGGCGTTTACATAGTACAAAGTTCCCCCTCCAGATACTCAGCAGGCCCAATCTGGAAATTCCGGTGCCCTTCTGGTAGTTCATTGGTCCCTTCTTGGCCACCATGGACGCTCTGGTCGTTTAAGGCTCTTCAAGCTACTGATGGGGACTCTGGCCGAGGGCCCTTCAGAACGCTACGGGTACCTGGGGCCAACCAAGGGCTTTACCCCCCCCCCCCCCCCCACAAGGCTTGCATGGTTCGCTCAGGACCCTGTGTACTTGGGCTTCTTGTCGATCATGGGCCGCCGGAGCTCAGAGGCCCTCCAGCTGCCAAGAGCCCTCTGGCCGTTCATTGGCCCAGGCGGAGTTTGTCTTTCCCTTAGGTCCCGAGCGTCAAAGGCCTCCTGGGAACCGATGATAATACGAGCACCAATGATCACGGGCTCGAGGGAAGGCTCGGAGGACCCAAGTGTCGGCCAAAAGCCATATATGCTAACTGACCCCGGTCCCAAATACCACCACCACCACCTGCGGGCAGGGGTCTCGGATACCAATCAGGGGGACCTTGCAGTACCGATGCCTCATGGAATAGTTCGAGGGTCTCATGTTGACCAAAGTCCACAAATGCCAAACAGTCGGCCCCGTGCGACCATGGCGCTCATTTTTAAGCAGGCAAAAGGCCGGGGCCCGAAAATGTCAACCATAAGATCTCTGGCATTGGTCGCAATCTCTGAGACAATGGGAGGCCTCTGTGTCGGTAGGGCCCAGTGTCGAACAGGGGATTTTATGTCTTCTGGTATCCTCGCATTGTTCAGTGGCACATTTGTTGAACGGGGCTAGGGCGGGGACTGCAAATGTTAGGTGACATTCTGCGTTGGTCAAAGGCGTCTCACAATAAAATGTCGTACGACAGGGTCCACATGGAGGCGATAGAAGGGCCCCATGTCGGCCAGGGAGCTCCAGTACCGGACGGGTATTCTCCGACCTGTTTCGGCCAGGGTCAGATGGAATCCCTGTGCTAGTTATTAGGCCCTTGTGCCAGTAAGGATCATTTTGAGTCAATGAGGCTCCTGCCTTGATCCGGGGCCAACAGCTACGGTCACAGGACACCCTGGCTAGGGAACGACCGGGGCATGATGCGCCCGTATGGGGTCTCCAAACCGACCAAGAGGCCCCGGTCCCCGTGCGCAGAATAGTAGTCAGTGAGTGACTCAGAATGGAACGGAAAGACCGGCCAGCCTCTTACCAAGAAGCGTGGTTGGTCTCCCAGCCATGACTGAACATTCAGTTGGGATTGGGGGTCCAGGGTCCCGGGCTCTGACAATTCTAAAATGTAAGGCTCTGTGGGTATGGTGCTTCTATAACAGCGCATTTTTCGGCTCGTGCAGCGAAAAACTGATTGTACTGGATGAGAGGAGCTAGAAAAGAGTGTTTGCCGGCTAAAAGTAATATAATGCGATAGCACCCCCTGGCTACCAAGTAACCCCAATCTGTCCACCATGGACCCCTCTGGCCGTTCAGTGGAGGCCTTCCTGGACGCCAGGGGCACTCTGGCTGCCTAAAACCCTTCAGTCACTTGTGGACCCTGTGGTCTTTCAAAGTCCGTTCTGGACTCACTAACACGTAACCTGGGCCTCACTCACAGATCCTTGGCCGTTCAGGAGCTGCATTAACCACTCAGTGATTTCGGTGTGCTCAATGCGTGTCTGGCTGTCCATGATCCGTTTAGTTGCTCGGGCCCCTTCTTCTGCCCTCTGAGGGCCCCTCTGGCCACTGAGAAGCCCCCGGCGGCGGCGTTTCCCACTGACCGCTCCGGGGCGTCACTGGCCACTTGGTCCCCTTCGGTCACCAATGAACACCTCTGATTACTCAGAGGGCGTTCTGGGCCACCTCAGGCT